TGGGTGTGAGGGGAGGCAGCTGCCAACTTCCCCAGCTCGCTGCTCTTCCGCAGAGTGGCAGGGAGAGACCTGTCCCCGAGGAGCCGGAAGCGGATGGTGACAGGTCGGCAGCGGCTGAGGGCTCCTCTCTGTCCCCAGCTCTGTCGGCGGCTGCCTGCCGGTGACAGGGGCAGAAAGGAGTCCTCAGCCGCCTGCGAGGAGCAAGCGGTGGGCAGGCGGGAGCGGCCAGGGGGCGGGGAGGAGCTGGTGAGCGAGGCCGGGGATGGAGAGAAGCCCTAGGCCAGCAGTTCAGCCGGCTGAGACGGGCAAGCGGTGGGGGCGGAGTCGGGGGTTAGAGAGGAGCCAGCTCCTCCGAGTGCAGCGCAAGTGGAGCGGGCCAGGCCGGGGCCCATTTTGAGCGTGGGCCCGGCGCCATGGTGCCATTGTAAACCCGGGACTGGAACGCAGAGCAATGAGAACACCTAGATACACTGATACGCAGAGCTAGTGTATGTCTACACTGCCTTGTAAATCTAGGACTGTGGGAGTCACACTTGTTTCCAAGCCCACGTTCAAGCATTCACAGTGCATTGTAAACCTGGGCTTACAATTGCTGGACCCGGGTCTCAGAGACGTGCTAACACATTCATACTGCACTACACAGACCTCCTAACTTGGGTCTGTGGCTTGAGTTACTTCCACACTGGGAAGCCCCAGCACAGACCCCTAAATTCTGCTGCTGCTCCCCCCAAAACCTTTCACAGAAGCACCACACCACATCACCAACTCACACAATTTTATCAGGAGTCCCATGCCATTTGGTGCTTTTCTTAAAGCCCCAGCTCCCGGAGTCATGTGATTACATGAGAATCTCAGCTTTCATTTGAAATAAAAATGTAAGTTTCTAGCCCTCCACGCTTGGGAAGAAAAGCCAGAAAACGTGACCCCTTAAAGGTTCAAAAAGAAAACAAATAAAAGAGAGGGGATTCAGGCTCAACCCCTCTCCTCCTCCCGCCTCCAGGTGGGTCCATGGGCCCAGGTCTGAAGGGCTTTCTGACCCAGTCAGAAAGATTTGTGTGTGGATGGTTGGGCTTAAACTTGAGTCTGAGCCTGAGTTTCCGGTGCAGCGTGGCCATGCCTTCACGTGGCTCTCAGTCGAGTGCAAACGGCAGGGCAGGGAGCACTCTGCTACGAGTTGGTGCGAATGTCTATGTACGGGGCTGAAACATCTTGTAGTTCTATGGGATAAAACATAAATGAAGGTGCTGCACAACAGCGAGATTAGAAGGGTTCAGAGGGACATCATTTCAAGGTCTTGTATGTGAATGTAGAGGTTAGCCGGGGCTCGTCCCTCTCTGGGGCAGCAGGGAACCCCCACCTCACTACACACTGGTTGTGTCTCGGGGGGAATTAATCTGGCTGCGGGAGTCTCCCTCAGCGGCCCTGGCGGAAGCAGAAATAAGCACAGTAAGCCCAGGCCCTAGGTCAGGACAGGGCAACAATGAGTCAAGCGCTCAGGCCCTCAGGCAAGGGCTGAGCAGTAGTAGTTTAAACAGTAGGCCCAAGCCTCCAAAGGGCCTGGGAGAGGGGGAGACTGCCATCCGCGAGGTGGGTGGCAGGGGGGACGCAGGCCCTCCCACTCCACTGCATCCCAGCCCGGGGCCCTAGCAGCAGCTGAAGACCCACTGCTGAGTCAGTGGGGATCCCGGCCGCAACACACTGACATGGCCTCTGGCAGTGCTGCAGCCACACTAGGATCGGCTGCCCCCTGGGCTACTTCGAGACTCCCCCTCTTGTGGTGCCTGGGTCGCGGTGGTGTCCTCTGGGGGGGGTCCAGCATCATGGGTTCCTCAGGGTAGCGGGCGTGGGGCAGGTCCGGCAACTAGGGTGACCAAACAGCAAGTGTGAAAAATCAGGACAGTGGGTGGGGGTAATAGGAGCCTATAAGAAAAAGACCCAAAAAACGGGACTGTCCCTATAAAATCGGGACATCTGGTCACCCTACTGGCAACTCCTCCGGGTAGCGGGCGTGGGGCAGGCCAGGCAACTCCTCCGGGTAGCGGGCGCAGGGCAGGTTGGGCCAGTCCTTGGGTGCACCGTGGGGACTTCCGAATCGCAGGCTAGGCCGGAGACATCTGGCCTCCCTGGCGGCTGTCTTCCCAGTGAGTTCTGGGGTCGAGCCTTTATACTTCCGGGGCACCGCCTGACCCTCTGAGGGCGGGCTCAGAGTTTCCTACCTCCACCCACTCCGGTGTCCGGAAGGGCTTGTCCCTCTCCGGGGCGGCGGGGAACCACACCACCTCACTACAGTGAACAAGACACACAGAGCGGCAGGGCCATCTGTGGCATTCCAGGAAGCCCACTGCTCTGGGGACAGGGCTACTGCCTCCTTCACCCCCCTTGTTGGGGCTGTTCGCCTGCCCCAGGCCTCTGTGAGGTCACTGATGTAGTCACCTCCTGCTGGCAAAGCTGCGTAGCTAGGGAAGTGCTGGAGATTGGGCTTGTGGGCATAATTCCTGAGGAGGCCTGACTGAGATTCCACTCAGCCAGTTGATGTTGACTCTGTTACGTGCTGGTTCTCCTAGGAAACATATGAGGAGATGGCCAGGAGCACTGTGTGATGTAGGGTGGGTCCCAATATGTAACACACGGGCAAAGTGCATGTCATGTCCCCCTCCAACAGCTGGACCACAGACAAAAACAGCCGGTGACTGCTCCCAATGAAAGGAATACCTGGTTTAGCTCATGTGACAGAACCGTGTCCTTTTGGGGATGAAGGCCCTACCTTCTTTTCCCCTCTCAGAGCCAGTGATCGAAGATCGTTACAAAGAGACTGCCTGGCAGGGGATTTGAGCTCTGCTTGACTTCAGACAGTTGGGGCGAGCTTCTCCTGACAGCCAGCGTTATGCCATGTCCCACATTCAGGCTTCCCCATCGCCAAGCATCTCCCTTTGGCTACAGGGCCTGGGTGTGTGGAAAATCAGGCTTGTGTTGCAGTGTTTTGATCAACAGCTCACCAAAATATGTGGAGTGAGAACCTTGTAGCCTCAATAAGAACAAAGACAATTACCATGAGGTTCAACACATTGATCTATTATTGTGGGTATTGTTTTCACCTGCTCCCTTTCCTCTCCATGCCCTCCACCCCACCCCCAGCACCATTTCAGCAGAAGGAGGTGGCATCCAGCCAGTCTGCTTCCTGCACTCTGACTCACTTTCTGAGAACTCAGCAAGGCAAAGTTTCACAGACTGCAGACAAGCACTACACCAAGGGAGCTGGAGATTTTCTCTCCCCCTAAATGGTATCAACATCTTGCTGTCTGTGTCTGTGTGTGATCCCCAGGGAAACCATAGCTGCTGGGCGGGGCCTGTACTCCCTGACTCTGGTGTATGGTAAGTTTACATTAGAGAGTTATGTGCAAATAGAGACCATTCCCCATCCTCCCTCACATTTGCCTGCAGAGTACCATGTGCACTGACAAAATCCACACCGGTTTGCTGGTGATCAGCTACGCCACCTACCTACTCTTGGGTGCGATCGTATTCTGGGCTCTGGAGAAGAATACCGAGATAGAACAGAAAAGGGCAGTAATCCAAATGAAGGAGGCGTTCCTGCAGAACTTTGCCCACCTCACTGTGGCAGATGTTGAGCAGTTTGTGAAGGTAAGGGATGCTGCGGCAGTGTGGGATGGTGGCCTCTCTAGCCTTCACGTGCAACCAACCTGGTTTTCACTTACATGATGTTTTCTGTGCCACATGCAGGTAACGAGTGTTGTGTCTTTTCTTGTGCATCCATTAGGGAGATTTCATTTAACCACTGATGGGTGAATCCTAAGCCCAATGTACAGTCTGAGTAGACAGACCAGACACTGGGCAGCTGCTCCAGTCCCCAGAAGGACTGGGGCACCTGCATAACAGTGGCTTCTCTGACGCCATTCTTACATGGGCCTGTTCCCACACACTCCCGGGCACGCGGCCATGCACAAAAAGCTGGGCTCCCAGCCCCAGGCTGAATCCCTAAATTCTGCTGCTGCTGCTCCCCCCAAAATCTTTCACAGAAGCACCACACCGCATCACCAACTCACACAATTTTATCATGAATCCCGTGCCATTTCTTAATTCCCCAGCTCCTGGAGTCATGTGATTACATGAGCATCTCAGCTTTCATTTGAAATAAAAATGTAAATTTCTAGCCCTCCAGGCTTGGGAAGAAAAGCCAAAAAATGTGACCCCTTAAAGGTTCAAAAACAAGACGACAAATAAAAAACATCTCTGCCATTCCTGACTCTCAGGGACAGGGGAGCGAAGCCATGGTGTGAGATCATTCTGGTGCAATTTATTCCATCTTGTGTCTAGCCTCTGGCCAGTCTCATCTCTGGAATGTATCTAGGCTTGTGTCTGTATCAAATCAGTCATCGTGCAAGTTGTCCAGCCCTGCTTCCTCGGGTTGCTAAGGGCAGGCAGGGCTGGAGGCAGCTTTTGTTTAAAGCTTTATCTTAAAATACGCACATCACTTAGCATTAGAACAGAGAAAGACTGAAGGTGTCAGAAAACTCATCTTTGAAAGTATCATGTGTGTGTTTGGTGGGTGGGGGGATATTCACAGAACCATAGAAATGTAGGGCTGGAGCTTTTCGAGCCCTCAAGAGATCATCTCTCAGCTATCCCCCTGTGCTGAGGCAAGACCAACTAAATCTCTTAGACCATCCCTGCCAGGGGTTTGTCCAACCTGTTCTTCAAAAAAACCTCCAATGACAGGGATTCCACAGCCTCCATGGGAAGCCTATTCCAGTACTTAACCATCCTTATAGCTAGAAAGTTTTCCCTAATACCTAACCTAAAACTCCCTCGCTGCAGATTAATCCCATTCCTTCTTGTCCTACCTTCAGCGGACATGGAGAACAATTAATGACGGGATAGTACGACACATTTTGGGCTAGTCTCTGATTGCGATTACACCACTGTACATCTAGATATGTTTCACCTAAGTCAATGGCGTTCCTCTGGATTTACATGGGGTAAAAAAGCAGAATCTGGCTCTTTGCCTTAAAAGAATAGTTTTCTAAGTGGATATCATACAGAGCCCAATGTATCCCTGATTAAGCTCACGTATGTCAAAGTAGGAATTAATTTGAGTCTTTCTGTTGCTTTGTAGGGTAGGGGATTGCCACAATACGTTTGAAGAGTGGTGTATATTGATTTGCATGAATACAGAGGCTACTGGCTTTCTGTTTGTATGGATGCCCTAAGAATAAAGTATATTATTGTTGTTACTTTATGACTAGGAGAACCTTTTCCTTCCTCAGTATTTCTGAATGAGCAAGAGATACAATTTCCATATTCTGCTCTCACATCCACGTCTGCACATAACTGAGTTCAGTGGGACTGTTTGGATAGAACAGTGCACAGAATTTAACAGAGTGGCCCTGAGTCTCCCTGATGATGCAATGGTTTTATTTCATTCTGGTGGTGCACAGCAGCCATAAAGCCGGCTTAGTTCTCCTTCAGATTCTCTGTGCAAAATGGGAATCTCTAAATGATATAGGCCTAGCAGAACAGCTCTGCACTTCCTAGCATAGAATTGTGGCTGGATGAGAGGAGCAAGGCCAGAGAGTTTGCTCTGGCTCCTGGATTGCTGGAACTGCCCTTTTGGGCCACTGGCAGCAAGGCATAACTTAGAGCAGTTTTGAGGCTGCTCTAAGTTTCGCCAAGCAGGGCTTTGGAGCTGTGCTCCGGCTCCGCTCCAGCTCCAGGCAAAAACCTGCAGCTCCACTGCTCCGGAGCTGCTCCATGCTCCAGCTCCGGGCTCCGCTCCAAAGCCCTGTTGCCAAGGGTTGAATTGGCCACAAGCTGGGACCATGATCAGGGATCCACAAACATGGCATAAAGCTACCTTTATTTCTGGTCCTGCACTGGTAGCATCTCAGCTGGATGAGAAAATTGGGGTCAGTATATTTTTCATCTACCTGTGTTGTTTTGCATTGGCCCAGGATATTTTACAGGCCCAAAGTGAGGATTTCTCGTTACATGTTGTTTCGTTTGAAATGATTAGGTGTTTGAAAACCTGGCTGTACACTTAAAGGATTCACAGTGTTCAAATTTATCTTCACACAATAGAGTATGTTTGCAGGCAAGTTATTTACAAAGAATAAGTACAATGTAAACCTGGGAGAGCACATGAAAAAAAACTCATGTTCAGGAGAAATCCCATATGATAAATTCCCTCCCTTAATTTTTCTAGTGTAAAAGTCAACAAGGTTTCCAAGGCACTGGTGAGCCTTGAACCATAATTGGCATCTCCCTATGGTTTTAACAATTGCTGTCTCCATTTCTTTTGGCAGACTAGCTACAGTCCCTAATGAGTACTGAACTGTTAGAATCTGGAAGGGAGGGAAAATATACAGCTAGCAGGGCATCGATTTTTTTCCCCTTTAACTTCCTAAAATAAAGTTAGAGAATGCCAAGGAATGATTCAGGTGTTGGGGAGTGTTCCTTACAGTTGTACCACGGAGAACCGTATTCCCAAACTGCCAGGGCCCAGCTACGGGACACCAGGAGGAAGAACCAGCCAAAGAGACCAAGGATGGAAAATAACAAGGCAGTAATGTAAAAATGCAGCAGGCTGAATTGCTTTAACCTATACAAGCCGTTTTCATGATTCTGCATTTCTGATGCAAATAATTTAGGCTAAACACTATAATGCTAGGTCAGTGGCGGTAAACTTCGTTCTAAAAAGCCCAAGTGATCTCTCATAGGGCCCATTCCAGCTCCCATCTAAATGATCAGGTAAGCACCTGGCACTATCTGAAATGCTGATTGGCTGCTGGTGAGCTGGTAGCCTTCTTGGAAGCAGGAGTGCTAGTAGGACTGGCAGCCGAGTTTGCCTATAACTTTGCATAACATATGATCTATGGATACTCACAGGAAAGGGGCCGTGGCGGGCTGATTCCTCTGTTTTATCACAATGGACCGTGAGAATGGGGAAGTGTTCATTTCAAACTTTGGTTTTGCTCGCAGAACCTGACTGACGCTGTGCAGAGAGGAGTATATCCAGTAGGAAACGAATCACAGACTGAAGTCAGCAACTGGGATTTCAGTAACTCCTTCTTCTTTGTGGGTGCAGTGGTATCCACAATAGGTAGGTTTGGTGCTTTTTTCCCCCTCTGCCAAATATAGTTATCATCGCCCCGAATGACTGTGCTTCAGACAAATTCAGTCAGGAAATAAAGCATACGTTTTTAACAGTGAGAGTAATTAACCATTGGAACAATTTACCCAGGGTGGCGGTGGATTCTCCATCAGTGACAATTTTAAGATCAAAACTGGATGTTTTTCTAAAAGCTCTGCTCTAGGGCTTATTTGGGGGAAGTTCTCTGGGCTGTGCTATAGAGGCAGATGATCACGATAGATTATCATGGCCTTGGGAGCCATGGCTATGAATTTACTGCTTTTCCTGGGCCAGGATGAGAAGCAGCAACTGACTTGGCCATGAGGCCTTACAGCTGCACGATTCATCGTTCACAGTATTATTTTAGTTGGTAACGTGACAACAGCCTTTTACAGCTCAACCTCCCCTTCCCTCTCTATCTGTTCCTTTCTAGCCATAGAATCATCTGTTAAAACCTTGGCTCAGCCGCCAGTCATGGGTTGAAGATGGACTTGACTTTCCCTGGTTTTCATTCCTAGGTCAAACAAACTGTAAATCTTATCCAAGGCAGCTGCAAGGCAACAAAGAATGATAGGGAACAACTGAATGCAGCTGGGCTGTAGAAGGCCATTACTATAGTACATACTGCACCAGCATACCCGCAATTTTCACTGCTGCCAGGAGAAAAGATGGGGGAGGGACAAGGTGAATACCATCACGGCCAATTCAAGCACAGTGCTGTCCTTAAAGCTAACAGAAATTGAGGCTGCTGGACTTGGAGGCAAAAACCAAAGAGTGTCC